AAACCCTTAATTTTGTCCCCTTTATACAGTTCTGTAAAGAATTCCCGGAATGCCTTTTGAATCTCCTCCTGTTGAAACACCTCCTTCCCTCTATAAATCAATCTGGTTACATTTCGAGTTTTCGTTTTTTTCCTAATCTGATAAGCTAAACATCTGCCCGGTTTATTTGCGTTACAAATAAATGTTGAATATGGTTTGTCAGCCAGTTGCAAATCCATCTGGTGGTGAAGCTGTCTATCCCACTTTTTTCAACCTTACAAAGAAGTAGGTTGTAATCTACTTTGTTGAATGCCTTCCTGACGTCTATTATGTCCACAGTATTTCTCTGGTCTACTAATTTAGTCACTATGTTGACTATATCTTAAGTTACATATCTTAAGTTACAGCATGGCGCAGAGGATCGAGACCATCTGGGAAGTTACAGCATGGAGCAAAGGATCGAGACCATCTGGGAAGTTACAGCACGTTCCATTTATTATTTGGGTGAACACACAAGAATCTGGTCAACTAACAATCAGCACTTAATTAGCGGGAGAGAAAAGTCAGCAGAATTCAAAATCAGATGGACAGATCTCGTCGGCAGGATGGGAATCGACTCATGAAAGCCTTGACCTCTTCCTCACGCTCAATCTGGTCATTTACATCAGGGGTCCCTGGGGGCCGTGGAGCAGCATGCCAGAAACTGGTTTGCAGAAAGAAGCAAAGCCGCATCCGCAGGATCCAGACGGCAGGTGAAAACACACCTCTGTTAGTCTGTGGAACAACCTCTCTCCATGGAAGCAGTCCCTGGGGCCCAAATGGTTGGGGTCCCGTGATCTACATGAACTTAGACCAGCCTCCTTCCCACATTCAGATCAGAAGATCTGTCCCAAAGATGTTGAACGAAAGAATATTTAAGATGATTTTTTTGGAATATATAATGGTTATGAAACAGGTAGTGATGATTGCAGCAAAAAAAATTTTTTTCCACTTCAAAGCATTCTCTGCCATTTTTCGGGCTTTTTTGTTCTCCGCCAGGAAAGCTTTGACAATGCCATCCGTCAGGATGGGCTCCAAATACAGCTGGTTGGTGTAGTACCCACCCCCGTTCTCTGAAACGGTTCTCTGCACAATGTCCATCAGCTCCGAGACCTGATTATCCCGCTCGGATCCCATAGCCTTGTTGTTGAACCCGTAGAAGCGGTTCCGGCATTGCTGGATCACATCCCGTAGATTTTTGTTGTCAGAGTTTCGGACGTACTCCTTCAGGGGGTCCCCACCCAAATCCTCCATGCAAGTGAAGAGGACGATCATGTGCTTTGAGGATTCAGTCCCAAAGATATCCCGGATGCACTTCGCAGCAGCCGCGTCTTCAGCGGTGAAGCGTCCCACCTGGGTCACCAAGATCAAGGCGTGGGGGCCAGGTTGGGAGAACTCAATACAAGACATGACCTCCCGTCGCACACCCTCACTGTAATCGTCGGAATCGAACATGGCTGGCGTGTCGACCACGTAGATCGTCTTGCCCTGCCAGTTTCCCTGTCCCCTTTGGCACCTCAGGGTGGTGATTTTTGCTGACAAGATGGACTTAAACACCTTCCCTCCAAGTATGGTGTTGCCCGTGGCGCTCTTCCCACCACCAGACTTTCCGACCAGGATGAGCCGGACTTCGGCATCGTCCCCTGGGAGTTTGGAAGACAGGGGGACAGTGTTAGGGCAGAGTGTAGTTACACTGCTCAATGGAACTCAGTTCATGTATTCAACTATTGACAGAGAGAGGAGGGAGAGGGGGGGGAGAGGGAGAACGAGATGGTAGAAATAGATGTGGGAAGGTGGGTGGGTAGAGAGAGAGATGGATGATAGGATAGATGGATGATAGGGAGGATGGATGGATGGATGGATGGATGGATGGATGGATGGNGCCAGTCATTTAATACTGGAAACATGGAATCCATCACATTATCTTACCCACAAAGTATGGGACTCCAGGGAGTGCAGTGCACCATGCCCAGACAACTCCATCCCTACTTAGATTTCCTTTGTTGGACTATGGATGAATTCAAGACTTGATTATGTCCAACATATCAATGAACACTTTGATACTCCATAGATTATCAGTAGCTGGCCATATGTGTTACCTGCTGACATTCTGGAGCCCTCACAATGACTCTTTGGACCAGACTGCAGCACAGATGTTGTTCCACCCTTGAGGATGAATGTCTGTATGGCTTCAGATCAATGCCTAATTTTTGTCCACTGTGCAGCCTCTTAGTGTAGCTGAACACCAGGTATTGAATTACGCTTTACTACAACAGATGCTTTCTGTGGTTGCTTTCCGAGGAAGCGCTGTATATTTATTCCATTACTCAAGGTAGCAAAAAAAGAAAGCAGCAGGTAATCAGCTTAATTATTCTGCCATGCAATTTTATGTATAAGCAAGAAAGCGAGGGATAGCAAGAGCTTTCTGAGCTGACGCTACTTGCCAATAGGCACAGGCTGTTTAAATGGCAGTAAACTTGGTTGCTCAATCAAGTGCCAGGTAGTTTTTATAAGATAAGCAAAGTTATTAGAAGAGAAGTAGCTACGGGGAGAGTGGTGAAAGGTGAATTATTTTTCTGCCTAAACAAAATCTATACTTAATTCTACCAACCTTTCCTTCCTTTCCTTTCCTTTCCTTTCCTTTCCTTTCCTTCCTTCCTTCCTTCCTTCCTTCCTTTTTATCATTATCTTATTGTCCTTCTATTTGTGTTGCCATAGATTGTATGCCAGGTACCATCTGAATTTTAATCTCATCTACTAATTTCCCCCATTTGCAGTTTTATGCCATCTACAGATTTTTACAGGCATAATAGATAATTTTTCATTTGATTTACCACAGTGAACCTATGTTGGACCCTTCAGTGACTCTGCATGATATAAAATTTTCCATTCTAAAACAGTTGTGCATCACATAATGCAATCATTTTTTCTGATCAAAATCAATAGCATGTTTTTTTTAAAAAAAACTAAATCGAATTTTTGTTGCATCTTCCCAGGATTATGATGCTAAGACTAAAAGTTGCCACTGACATCGGCTGTTCCATTTATTTATAATACTTGTATATATTGTACACTAAGTAACTAAAGATAACAATGTAGATCTGCCTTCTCAAAGGAGAGAACCTTTCTACAACCTTAAAAGAAGCAGTAGGGCTGTTTTTTAAACGAAACCTGATATGTCTTATGAATTAAATGATTTTTGCTTTACAAATGGACCTTATAAAGTCTTCAATTGTGAGCCCTGCTTTTGAAACCTTGTGTGCTATTTGCTGCTTCATTTATGCAAATCTCATACTAGCATCTTACCATAATAATGAATTGAGAATGTTGATTCATATTAGNGAGGTAATTTAAGGTGGTTCTGACAAGTGTCGTCGGCATCTTCAAATCCGGTCACATGGGTGGCAAGCCACTCCCATCCGGTCACATGGCCAGCAAGCCACTCCCACAAAGGAGGCCACACCCACAGAGTAGGTTCGAACAATTTTTGAAACCCACCACTGGAATGCCCATTATGTTCTCCCTAATATCTTTCTGTTGGAACCTGTTCTAGCTAATAATCAGGATTGCACAAAGTGGAGACTAAAGCATACGATGAACGGTTGCAGGAACTGGGCATGGCTAGTTTAGTGAAGAGAACGCCGAGAGGAGACATGATAGCAGTGTTCCAATATTTGAGGGGCTGTCCAAGAGAAGAGGGGGGTCAAGCTGTTTTCCAAAGCACCCGAAGGCCAGAGAAAGAATAATGGATGGAAACTGAACAAGGAGAGATTCAACCTGGAAATAAGGAGGAATTTCCTGACAGGGAGAACAATCAACCAATGGAACAGAAGTTGCTTTCAGAAGTTGTGGGAGCTTCATCACTGGAAGCTTTCAAGAAGAGACTGGACTGCCATCTGTCAGAAATGGTATAGGGTCTCCTACTTGAGGGGGGGTTGGACTAGATGACCTACATGGTCCCTTCCAACTCCGTTTATCTGCATATATACCACTTTATAATGCCTTGGTAAGACCATGCTTGGAATATTACATCCAGTTTTGGTTGCCACGATATATTAAACAAAAAAAGTTATTGAGACTCTGGAAAGAGGGCAGAGAAGAGCAACCAGGATGATGAGGGGACTGGAGGCTAAAACATACGAACTTGGCGTGGCTAATCTAGTGAAGAGAAGGACCAGGGAGGACAGGATAGCTGTGTTCCAATACTTGAGGGGCTGCCATAGAGGAGGGGGGTCAAGCTATTGTCCAAGGCACCCAAAGACCAGACAAGGAAGAATGGAGGAAAAGGGACCAAGGAGAGAGTCAACCTGGAAATAAGGAGAAATTTCCGAGGTGGGTGAAATGAGGACCCAGACTGTGGGGGCGATATGCTGACTCTGTAAACTGCTTAGAGAGGGCTGGAAGCCCTATGAAGCGGTATATAAGTCTAATTGCTATTGCTATTGCTATTGCTATAATACGGTTGGAAGGCACCTTGGAGGTCTTCTAGTCCAACCCCCTGTCCCATTTTAGACACAAGTCGCTGTCCAATCTCTTCTTAAAAACCTCCAGTGTTGGAGCACACACAACCTCTGGAGGAAAAAATTGTTCCAAATGATTAATCGTAACAAACGAGTATAAAAACAAGCATTTTATTGTTATTCTTTCGGTAGAAAGACCCCATCTTTATTCAGCTGAATAAAAGTGTTAGCTTAAAGGCAACCCCTGGTATTCTTTCTATATTTTTGGGGGAAAAAATCCACTTCACAAACTGGCATAACGCAGGTGCTTTGGAGAATAGATTGACGACTAGGTTATAGGTCTGTGATGGCAAATCTATGGCATCCATGCCCCAGGTGGCACATAAAGCCCTCTCTGAGGGCACACGAACCGCCCTCCAAGCTCAGCTCTACCGCACATGCGGCCAACTGATTTTCGGGTCTCTGCCGCACATGCGCGGGGGCAGGGTGCATGCAAGAGACTCACATGCATGCGCGGAGGGGGGGATGTGTGTGGGAGTGTGGCCCACCCACCTGTGCCCCATTTTTGGTTCCAGGAGGCTGCAGGGAAGCCTGCTAGGGCCAAAACAGGGCATGTGGGAGGGGGGTTTGCCCTTGCATTGCATTATGACTGTGGGCACATACATGCGCGCTGTTGCACAGGTGTATGCCCTTTTGGCACGTGATGGCAAAAAGGTTAGCCGTCACTGTTATAGGTTAATAGAACAGTGTGGGAAGCCCCCACCCAAGAATGAAATATTTTGGGAAATATTTATTTATTTTTTTAAAAAAGGCAGAATATCGTAGTTCCCCAAAGGAGAAATTTGAGAAACGTGTTTTTGGAGGCAGAAAGCAGACCCCAGTCTTTCTTAGTAGCCCAAAGCAGGTGCCAGCACTTAAGGAGACGAAGAGTTTACCGAAAGAGGAAGGCGGCTATCTAGATGGCTCCATTCATAAGCAAAGCAAATTCTGCCCATTCGAGGCAGAATATTCTTAAAGGCCTTTGTAGCCGGGTTTGACAGCTGACAAAAGCAGAATGGTAGGATCGGAACAAGCAGCCCGTCACCCAAGGTCCAACACAGGATGGAAGCCATTAGCCACACAATAAAAATGGCCCAACACCCTTTCAGAGCACAAACCCCTTTCATTTCACACACCAGAGGTGGGTTCCTACCAGTCCGCACCTATTCGGTAGAACCGGTTCGTCAAATCTACCGAACCGGTTAGAAGAGGTTNCTCAGCCTTCCATCCTTCCGAGGTGGGTAAAATGAGGACCCGGATTGTTGTTATTGGGGGTGATATGCTGACTCTGTAAACTGCTTAGAGAGGGCTGAAAGCCCTATGAAGCGGTATATAAGTCTAACTGCTATTGCTATTACTTTTTCTTTCCTTTTGTTTTCTAGAAATCTGGACAGGATTCTCCAGATAAGGCTGGCGAGAGGATTTTGCTTTCTTCCAAGACTCTGGGAGCAAACCAGAGGCATCTGAGGTTTTCGCCAGCCCTCGGACACCTCCGGGGGAGTTTGGGGGCATCTTCTGCCACAGAGCCATAAGCCTGAAACCAACCACTTGGAATGCAGGGAGGTGCTGTGAACTTTGACCTTTTCCCGGATAAGCGGAGATGGTCTGGGGAGCCGAGGATGCCAGTAAATGCTGCTTGCAACCTTTTCATGGTGACTGTAGAGAAACGGATCAGGTGAGGGGGATGCACTTCTTAGGAGAACAAGTCCTTGTTTAGCAACCACAATTGGGACGTATGGTTGTTAAGCGAAGCGGTCACTAAATGGAAAAATCAGTGATTGCAGAGGTGCTTTCCTTTTCTTCACTCCTCTGCCCTTGGGAATGCTGGGATAATTAGCAAGAAGGGAAATAATGTTCCTGTTTATATTCATTGGAGAGAAAGGGATAGTAAGAGAGTAAGCAGCAGGCACAGAATGTGGAACAGTCATAGAAAGGAAGGTGCTTGTGGGGGCTCTGAAAAGCTCCTAAAACCCGGCTTTGGTGCCAGGCCTGGGCTTAAATTTGCTTTTTTGGGGATGAGAAGAGCTGCCATGCAGTGTTTTATTACCTGCTTTCAGTCCAGGCTGCCTGGTTTTATTTATGTTTATAATTATTTTATCTTGGATTGTGTAAACCATCCAGAATGGTTGGAGTGCATGGCGGTAACAAATGCAGTGCAGGAAATTAATTGTGCTAGAAACAGTGGCTTTCTAGGTTTATGCCTCCGCATCCATCAGCCAATTCTCATACTGAGCTGACAGAGCATGGATGAAATACCTTGAGGGGGNAGGACTTAAAGTCGCCAAGGTTGAGAAACACTGCGATTCCATCTCGATGTCTTGCAAATTGCATGGAGAATGGAGCTTCATAAACCATCGTAGCCCAAAGGGCTCGGGGCTGCCCGAACAGCCAAGCTTTACAAAACTGCAAAATCCAGAGTGCCTTAAAAGAGTTTTACCCCTCCAGAAAATTCAAGTCTTGTTACCCAAGATTGAAAGGCTCTGAATACAGTGGGCTGCCCAGTCAGCCAGATGTTCAGGCTGCTCTTGGCATATTTGTCCACCTATCGAGTCCTTCCCGGGGCCCTGGGATAAGCAGATATAGATGTTTGACGGTGTTAGGGGTCTCGTCGCAGGACGGAAGCTGTTCCGAGTCACTCTGCCTTTTGCAATTGACCGGTGGTAGATTTGTCAATGCCGCTGGGGTTCAGGTGGCACTCCAGATGTTTTGGGGTTGCACCCAAGGGCCGCAGTCATTCTACTTCCAATTGCAATCCTCTCCGCTTCTTCCTCTTCTCCTCCATTGTCTCCAGGCGTTACCCAGAGTTTTTTGGGGGGTCTTCCTTCTTAACAGTTGTTAATTCTGGGGTGTTATGTGGCAGGTGTTTATTATTATTATTATTTTCACAACAACAGCAGCCAGAGGGAGAGGGAATTTCAGGGAGGGGAAATAATAAAGATTTGCAAAAATGCAGGGATATTTTTCATGCGTAAAGAGAAGCACGCATGCAGGGAACAAAACCCTGAATATAAATTATAAAGCCAAGAAGCCAGAAAGAAAGGGAAAAAAATATATGTTTGCACACACCTTTTTGAGGGACGTGGCTGTTCTCCCCTGGAGCCAGATGAGGTATGGTTATATAAATACACTCCGCACGTGCCAGATGTGCTTTCTTAGATAAATGCAGCCCGTGCACACCCATGTTGTGACTGGTGTCATTTATTTATCAGCACTTATGCGCCTCCGAGGCTGTGCAGGGCCAAAGGTAGATTTGCATGCCATAAAGCAGATCGCAGACGATAAAAACAGGTATTCCAAGATCTCTAATTGCAAAGGGAATAATCGGAATCAAAACTTTAGCAAAGTTGTTGCGTGATCCTAAAAGCAAAGCTAGCTTTCTTTCTTTCTTTCTTTCTTTCTTTCTTTCTTTCTTTCTTTCTTTCTTTCTTTCTTTCTTTCTTTCTTT